AAAAAGAAAAAAGATGACTGGTAACTATGGGATCCTGGGAGCTTCCTGATGAGAATGGAGAGTCTTCCTCAGAAAGACTGATACATGGATAGAGGACTGACCTTTCAGCTTTCCCATCTACACCAACAAAGGCAGAGGGCTAGGGATTGAGCTAACCACCCATCTCCAATCATTTTATCAATCATGCATATGTGATGAAGCCTCTATGAAATCCCTACATGAAGGGATTCTGAAAGTTTCCCTTTCTTACCATAATGTGTCCTATATATTTATTTTCTAAGGCTGTTTCTGAGTTTTATCCTAAAAAATAAGGCAGTAAATTTATTTCCCTGAGTTCTATAAGCCATTCTTGAAATTCATAAAACCTAAAGGGGGGGCAATTATAGGAACCCCTAACTTTGTAGCTAGGTCAAACAAAAGTGTGGGTACGCTACGGGCAATCTTCTAGGATTTGAAGCTTAAACTTGTGGAGTTATACTAACTATAGTGTGAAAAGTCAGTGTGAAAAGCAAAATAAATTATAGGACACCAGGTTAGCATACAAAGAGTTGGAGAAGTGACCATTGGTGGGGAAAATCCCCACCTACTTTGGTGTTAAAAGTGTTTCAAGTTAAAACAGTACGGAGAGATAAAATGTTGGTCTAGTGTTCAAACAGTAGTGATCTCTCAATAAATGTTTGAAAATGTGAAAGTTCACTGAAATCAGTCACAAGGCAAAATATGAACTATCAGAAAAATAGCCTTTCTTCAGTAGATAACGAACTAGAAAACCTTAGTTTCTCTGATACCAGTTACACCAAGAGCTTGATCAAGAGATAATAATGCACCGAATATAAACTGAGCAGCTAGTTCTTTATAAGTGCCAAGTTCTTTATAAACACTGTGCAAAGCTGATGTCATATAATACACATAACAATCTTTTGAGAGAGGAATTATACTTATATCCATTCTACAGATGAGAAAAATTAGGTACAGGTAAGTTGAAGGACATGCTCCCATTAACATAGTTAAGTAACAAAGGAAGGACTACAGTGGACCCTCGAGTTACAACCAGCCTCACATACAAACAACTTGGGTTATGACCAGAATTTTAGTTTTAACTTATGTCCAAAGTCTTGAGTTACGATCCGAATGCCAGTCTTTCCTGTGTGAGGTTAATTGAGAAATCCTGGGCCAATGTCTAAGGACAGTACAATCTGCCTGGAAGAAAGTGTGGCCTAAAATTATACAGGAGAGAGACTTTGAAGGCTGTGTAGAGGAGCCTGAGCCTTAAACTGACCCTGTGGTTGATGACACTGTCACTACAGCACAGTCCATAGGCTTGTAGGCAGATAGAGGTGAGGAACTGTCCACAAAGGTACTTTAGCAACTCTGGCTCAGCAACAGAGAATGGCAGCTGAGGAGCTTTCTGAAGAGGAGGAGGAGTATCAACAATCAGTACAGCAAAGTTCTTCTTCTGAAATAAAGGAAATCCTGAGAAAATGGACAGAGCTACAAACATTTGTAGAGAAGGCCCACCCAGATAGAGAAAAAGCCAATTGTTACATTCACTTGCTTAATGACAATGTCATGTCATACTACAGAACAGTGTTAAAGACAAGACAGAAACTGACAAACTTAGACCAGTTTTTGGTTCTGAAAAGGTTGAGACTCGTGAGCCAGAAGCAGGTCTTGGTGGGCTACAGACTCTCCCAAGGAAAGAAAGACAGTAGAGAGCCAGATTCCTGATGTTCTTATGAAGGGGGACTTTCCTTCCAAACAATAACCACCTTCCATTTCATTCTCCCTTCCTGAAAGCCAAAGGTCAACTTGAATGGTGAGTAGAGTATGAAATCATTGTTTCTGGTAAACTAGGCACATTTTATAACTTTTTGATGAATACACTAGGAAAATTATTGGTGTTTCTGGTAAATTACACATATTATACAACCCTTTTTTATTATGAAAAGGTTAGATGAGGGGTGCTTTCGGAGAGGTTCAGAATGCATTATGGGTATTTCTGTTATTCCTTATAGGAAAAATAGTCCTTACAACCAACTTGAATTACAACCAGCCCTCATGAACAAATTGAGTTCGTAAATCAAGGATCTACTGTAGTTCACCGACTCCAAAGCACATGTTTCTCCATTAAATTCTTAATTTAGAGAGACAGACAAAACAAAAGGCTGAACCAAACGATTCCTAAGACATCATGCTGCTGTTACATTTGTACTCTTCTCAAAAACATTTCTTTTTGTTGCTGGTATTAAATAATATTGACTTACTTCAAGATTCAACTGATATCTCAAGAACTATGACTGGAAAAGTGAATGTGGATCCCTATTTCTAGCATTTACATTAAGACACTCATGGTAATTCTCACTCATGTGAGAAGCTCACATCTCATAATGCTGCAAGTGTCCTAAGATAATCTTGAGTGCTCTTCAAATATTTCCAATTAATGAAAAGGGGATATCTTTCTATTTATGTAGGTAATTTTAATTTCTTTCAACAATGCTTTCTAGTTCTCAGTATACAATTTTTTCACTTCTTAGGTTAAATTTATTTCTATGTATTTTATTCTTTGATAAGATTGCAAATGAAATTACTTTTTAACTTCCTTTCACATGTGTAGCAACATAATTTGCTTTTCAATTGATTTTAACCTGCAACTTCTCTGAATCCATGTAATAAGTCTGCTTTTGGTAATTATGAGAAGACATTATAAGAAAACGATCAATTCCCAGGAAAAACATAGTTCACAAGCATCAAACCACAGGAAGTAGAAAAGTTTAAAAATTGGGGACTGGCAGAGACAATCACTTCCCACCGTTAATTTATGAAGGAAACACTGAGGAGGCTTTTTAGCAACAAAGACCAACTGCCTTCAGCTTTGCAGCCAGTACTGAATCAAGTGTGTGCTAATCACAATACTCTTAGAAACTGAAAAGAACAAAGTTTCTCCAAGCAAAATCTCAATAAAGCTACAACTACCTGACACACACTTGCACTTACATGAGATACTTTAGGGAAAAGAGACCATAGGGATTTCTTCCATCCAAGCTTAATAAAATGAAGTTATCATCAATCAAATGAGCAGAGAGGTACAGACAGGCATATAAGCATGAAGTAGAAAGCACAAAACTATATTAAATTTAGGAAGCAGTTCTCTAAAGTGTGGGTATGCCTTAAATAAACAGAGCTGACTATAATAAAATAGATAAAAAGCCACAAGAACCATTTTCCTTAACTGCTACCAAAAATAGCCCTTGGACCTTTAATTGTCTGTAGTAGGAAAGAAGCTGAAAAACTGATTGTCAATATCCACACTAAATGTAGCAAATGAAACAACTGAAAAATGAAAAACCTACAAAACTAAAAGGAACAATGTAATAGGGACTTTGTCCCAAAACTCTGAAAAGGGAATCATGCTGAATCATGAAACATTCTTTGCCTCCAGGGCAAACACTTCTTTTACAATTGTTACATACTAAGGGTGCCTATGAGTTTTCAATTCCTTACCTTTCCTATTGGGAGTGTTTACATTAAGTACTCAACCTTTTTTTTCACCACTGTACATTAGATACATTGGATGTAAAAATACATTTTTGGTTTCCAGTTCTTCAGGTCAAAAGGATCCATATATCTGGACCTGATAATGTAGAAACTATAAAAGACAGCCCTCTCCTATCAAACAGAGGTCCTGGGCTTTTGAGTTTGAAGTCATGCCAAAAAAGAAGTTTCAGATTTTATCCTATAATGGCAAGATATATAAATCTGCCTGTTAAGTAGAGACTGAATATGTGGTGACCCAAATATCAGAACATGGTACATTAGTGCTGTTCAACAAACACATCCTGCTCTCTTCCTTCAGGTCCCAGAGGTTCTCACTACCTGATTGATTATGATTAGGTGAGACTGGAGATGTCAATTCCCACCCAGAATATTTTGTTGCTGATGTGAAATGCAGCAGGACTTACTTTCACTTTGTAATGACAGCAGGTATCCACATAGAAAATACACTCTCGGGATAATTTCCAGGGTAAGAGTGTGAAAAAGAACCCCAGGACAACCTTTCATGTCTACGCAGCAGGAGTAAAATATAAACTGATGTCTGAAACCAGGTGGCATCCCCCATCCTGCTTTGGTACATGTGTCCTATGCTGTTTCAAAGTTCTAAAATCTTAATTCTGTGATTTATGTTATTTATTTATAAAGTCATATACTTCACACATTTACAGCCTGGTATTATATCAAATTTATAAAAATTCCTTCTCCCAAGCAATTTAGTAAAAGAGGATTGAAAAATATTTACTAGCACAGATGATCTTGAGGATGAGGTAGCATATTTATAAATCTCTATTTAAATTCTATACTTGATTTTGTTTACTAAATTATAGTTAATTTTTTCAGCATTCTTATAACACACCATTTAAATAAAGTTGATTGTATTTTCATCATCCAAGTTTATCACTGAAAAGTGTTACAAGGAACTTCTTACATTACATAATTTATACTACGACACATCCATAACTCCTTTTCAAGTAAAGTAGTTAATCATTTAAGCCATTTAAGACACTATACTAAAAAAGAAAAAAATGGAAAAATTCAAACAGTGGCTAATGTCTATGTGAAACAAAAGGTAACTCAAACATATATGCTGTTACCTCATTAATATGTATCATTTAAAATTTTGATATATCATTTAAAGATGAATTTAATAAAAATGTTATCAGAACTTATTTCATTAACCTTAGATCACTGAAAGGTGAATATTATTAGAATTCAGAAATTAACAAGAATAATCATTAATCTGAAAAAAACCCTGCTTATTTTAGGACTTTACTACTATTTTGGGTCTATCATTAAATTCTGAAACCTTGAGTTTAAATAAGCATAACTTTTTCTCCAAAGTACACAAAGAGAAAGTAAATGGCAACGAAATAAACAGTTATATGGCTCTCAGGGGAGGAAAGTTAGAAGAAAAGTATAAACACACAAAGGATGTGCACTTTTATTACCTGAGCATTGAGCAGCTCCTCACACTTGTGTGCTTGTTTCTCAATTGCAGAGATGTACTGTTTTTCAATAGCTTCTACTTGTTGCTTCAATGAAGACTGTAGTAGTGCCTAAAAACAAGTAAGGAAATCATTTGGATCACAGACAAAACTTGTAGTCCAGAGTCAGCATTAGCCTGTTTGTCTGTTTGTGATAGTTGTACATGTCTGAAATATGATGCCTTCTGTAGTACAGGATATACATTTGTAAAGAGTGAAGCATTTTACATACACACACACACACACACACACATAGATCTCACTACTTTAAGCTTTTGGTTTTACCCTTCCCAATTGCCAAATAATCCAAATATTTTGGCTTAGATATTCCTTTCACTCACCTTCTCCTTTAAAAAGGCCAAATCATAGAAAATGATAAAGAGGGTAGTTCTGTTAAATATAAATTCAGTTCAGTGAAGACCACACAGGACGAGAAGCAAATGAAAGCTGCTGCGAAAAAAAAAAAAAAAAACCAAGAAAAAGAAAGAAAGAAATGGAAGGAAGGATGGATGGAGAAAAGAAAAAAGAAAAGAAAAGAAAAGAAAAAGAAAAAGCCAAGCCCAGCCAGACATATTTCACTGGCTGATAAAACTCCATATCCTCTCAGCACATTATCACATCCTATGGGACAAGCATTATCTTCAAGACCACAAGTCAAGCAAAAGCAGATGGAAACTCTGAGCAACTTCAAACATAAAATAACTGTCCCCAACCAGGAAGTTCACGCCTTAAGGTGAAAAGGTATAAGTCAGACTCTTGAGAATGAAGAGACTTAACTGGGCAATGTAAATGCTGGTAAAAATAAAAAAGGTATTTCTGTTCTAAAACTTAGAATTTGAAAACGTTCCACAAACTCATTTCCTCACTGAAGATCTTTAGACTACTATAATCATCTTTCTTTTCCTCTTTTTTGGGGGATACTGGGGATCGAACTCAAGACCTCGCGCTTGCAAGGCAGCCGGCGGAACCACTGAGCTAAATCCCCGGCCCCTCTTTTCCTCTTTTAAGCTTTATTTATGTCATACTAACATGGTCTTACATGGTATTTATGAATCCTAAATCATCCTAAAATATGCATTCCACTATATACATATATATGAACTCTTTAGCAAATATTCTATTTTTAAATGTCTATGTGGATAATAAACTACTCATAATCAGAACAGTAAGTTGAAACACACATATCTTATGGAAAAGACCATCTGCACATTCACGAAGAAAAATAAGCCAAATCTGTCAATTTCTGTTTTGAAAATAAGACTTATTCAGTTGGAAACAACATGCATCAGGATGCTAAATAAATAGACACACAGTTTTTTAAAAAAGACAAATATTTTTAACCCAGCAGATAAGTCTCAGACTTTTAGAGAATCAACTCTCTTTTGTTTTGCAATGGAAGACTGATAATGGTATAGTCATCACTAAGAAGCTGCAGAGTTACTGGTAAATAAGTAAAGGAAAATAAAGCTTTGTCCAACATTTAATCAAGATATAAAGGGCTGCCTTAGCCCTCTATTTATAAAATAGGTTATCTTCTAAAGATTTCATAATGATTACTTTACATAAGACACCAAGAGCTAATCCTTCTAAACTATAACACGATACTGTAACTCTCTAATTTAATTTTGGTAAAGTATAATATTTGATGGATTTATAAAATTAAAGAATGATAAAGACACTTCTATTAGAATAATCATAGCATTTTGTGAAGAGAAAACTACTATTCTTATTTTAAAATCTGGGTATGAAAGGACTGTTTGCCACACTTCCAAATAATCCCAAATTTAAATAGCAAATTTTAATTTTCGGTCCATTATATCATTTAAAGGACAGGTAAATTAATAAAATACCTCATTTCCATTATTAAGAAACTATTTAAATCATATTTTTCCTTTAGGGATATACTCATTTTCTTCTTGTCATCAAGAAGGATAATAATGTGTTAAGAACAAAAGCCAAGATACGGTGCACAAAGGAAAACTATGCAAAAGTAATTGGCTTTATATGATTCAAACATTCCATTTTAGCCTCATATCCACAAATGGGACAGAAGGTAAGTACAGACAGATTTTTAAAAAATCTATTCACTGAGTTCATTCTAATGTTGAAGAAAAACATTATCTTGATAATCACACACCAGAGGTATATGCAATTGCCTGTCAGAGCTGTCGCAGGCCTTCCTTTAAGGCTCAATACTGTACTAAGAGAATATTAAATAGATAAGAACAACTACAGCACAGAGGCTGCAGTTACAAATAGAGTAAGGCAGAAAGCCAGAAACTAGCTAGATGTTAGATACTAAAAGATTTTGTATCTTCTAACAAAGTGTTGAAAATTTCAACTCATATTACTCAACAATGGATTAATCAGTGCCACAGTATAACCAAAAGAGGTAATTTCCAAAAACTATCCTTATTTGTAGAATGCTACCAATATGGATATATGTACAAATACAAATTGGAACTACTGATCTGCTTGTATACCTTGCTTTATTATTTTATAGCTAAGTATCTTCCAATGGACTATATCACAATTAATGCTTGTTCATAAATTTTAAAAAATATTACAGTAAAAGACACTGCAATTCATCCCCTTCAAAATACACATTTATCCTATTGTTCTTGATACTTTCTGAAGCAGTTCTGGAAGTTCTCTTCATAAGTGTCTTTATGAGGCATGATCAAAAATAAGAGAAAAGCAGATTCTAAATGCTACCCTGGCTTTGTAAAGTCATTATGATGTGTCCCTATTCATCTTATTCACTGGATCTGACACTACAGTACATCTGAGTCATCCCCAGAGTCAAAATGCCCATGAGAGGTATGTTTTGAATCAATTCACAATATCAAGGCAACCATGACAGCATAACAAAATACACTCAAAGAAGCAGAGCCAAAAGGACTAATGCCACCTAGATTCAACAAACCCATTCATTTTTATTCTCCCTTGAAACAGCCCAAGTGTACAGAACTGACTTCAGCCTCATAAAATTAAACCACTTGTCCAGATTTGCAAGGCCCATGTGTACTTCAGAACCAGATGGTCTGAAAAACATTGGCATTGCCAGGTGTGGTGTTGCATGTCTATAATCACAGTACTCGGGAGGCTGAGGGAAGAAGATTGCCCCAAATTTGAAGCCAGCCTGGGCTATACAGTGAGTTCATGGCCAGCCAGAAATGTATAGCAAGACATTGCCTCATAAAAAAAAAAAAAAATTGCTTTCATAGCAGCACAAGGAGTTACTATAGAATCCTAAAAGAACACTATATAGATAACTGTAAGAAGAGTAATTCGATTATTTTGAAATTAACAAAAATTTTATCTAACAATCCATTAAGTTATACTTTACCAACGGAGAATTTTAATGCTACAGAGCAAGATAGAAGCAAAAGATAAACACAATACTCCAGCTAGAATGTAAGACAAGAATTTTTATGTAAGTCATTGATACTGCATGTGATGTTTATACCAGCACCTTATACATAAAAAATTCAACAAAATTATAAATTCAATAAATCACTTGATGTTGGCATGTCTAACCCTAACTATAAGCCTACTCATAAAGAAATTATTAAAACTTTTATATCTATAATTATACTGTTTTTCTTATCTATAATATAGGTAAAATAATTGTTACAAAGCATTGAAATCAAGTACAATTTTAAATTTCTTAGAAAAATATAATTTGCTTTTCAAACATCAATTTTTTTCAATCTTTTTTCCTTATTTTTCTATCTTTTTCCATTTGAACTAAAATTAAAATGAGCAAAATTGAAAGGCATCTGCAAAATGGATAAGTTAAGACTATGAAGAGAAATTTTTACATTTTCTTCTGGTGTTTGCCTTCTTTTTCAGCGAATACTACTTTGAATTTTGCAATGCTATCAAAATGTTAACATGTTCCATAATATTCCCCCAAACTTACACACATAAAAAACTGTATTATTCAAAGGAAGACCTTACTTGTGTGAAACACATTTGTAAAACTGATCTCACACATTTTACTGAATTGTTCATCTGTTCATCTATCTTTCTCCATGAAATTTGCATACCTGCTTACCGATTAAGAATCTTTTTTTTTCTTAGCTATTCTAAGGCAGTAAAGCAAATTGTTTTCTTCATGAATAGGCACTTCTCATTTTTATCAATCAATGAATTATCCATCAACTGCAAATCTAATGAACATTTACAGAGTGTATACTTCTTACCAGACTCTTGTTAGTACTGAAGATACAGTGAACAAAACAGACAATGGCCTTACTCTCCTGTGCTTACATTGCTAGCAATGGTGTGAGTCAGGCAAGGAAGACAAGAATAGAAAGGTAGGTCAAGGAAAACCATTATTTTTTTT